TTCCTTTCGCATAAAATCATATCTCTTAGCACTAATCTGTAATGAGCATTCCAGGCCAAGGCCTACTCTTTACTACCTCAGTCCGCTCGCTAAAATCAGTTAATCAAAATTCAGGCTATTTATGTTCATTCTTCTTACAACGTGGATGAGCACACTACAATACTTTTTTTGTGAGAAGATTTTCTTTAAGTGCATCATTAGTGCAATCATTTCTTTTGTTGCTTTATTATTGTTTTGTACGATGGCAGGTTCTCAATTAATCAACCTTCCAATCCGAACATATATCAAGCTCGTAAGCCGGTACATCTGTTTCAAATAGCTCAAATAACTCGGTATTTTAGACTAGAAACTTAGAATCTAAAATCTGCACTCTTCCTATATTCGTGGATTCATAAATATAACGTTTGCAATAAAGCCGACAGGCCGTTGTGCCTCAGCTGATCAATCGACTTTGAAGTTCTCTCAAAAGTTTTTGTAATCCAGTACATCCCACAACTCCGAGTGGAGATTTCAGCCATTCTCTTGAGTGGATGTTTTATTCTTATTATTCTATCAAAATTGGCTTGGAATATTTTGCCATAGCCTTACCTCTAAAGAACTAAACATCTTAATTCAAGTCGCACTTCATTTCACATCTGCTCTACTTATCTTTTACTTTTCCTTTTATCTTCAGTCATTTAATACAACTGCAGCACATTCTATTTTTGCAGATTATGATGAGCAGCCTTCAACTGGACTTACTATAGACTACGAATGTACAAGAAAGAGAAATAAGGGTAGCTTCCTAGTGTAAACATTTCCAAAATCGCAGTGCCTTCATTTGACAACTATTTCGTCTTGTCCCTTGCGCTATATGCAACACAATAATGCAACTTTCAACATCATGCTTCTTTCTGCCAGGTCACTTCATGGTCAAGAGAAAATTCTAAAACAGGTGAAGGAACAAGACAAGGTAATGTGCAGCCTCTTCTACAAAGCCATAAAGAATGATGCCTACTTACGCAGCTGAAGCATGCAAAGTGTGACTTAAAAAGGGGTTAATTTTCAAAATCACTTATTTGCAAGATAGATGCTCTGATTAGAGGAAGGCAGCAATTATTCTATTCTTACAATCCAGTAAAAAAGAGCCTTGCACAACTACCACTTAGCCAGTTGGCTCAATCTAACAATTTCCCATTGAAACGCTGAAAAATAATTTGTTTGCTTCTCAACCAAAAAAAAATTTAAAGAGAAATTCTTAAAACCCAGCTCCTACCCCACTACCACCGCTATTCTCAAACCCGCACTCACACTCATGCGTCAAAAGTGCTGCTCCTCTTCCACAAGCATGTGTGGTAAATCAAGGATCGATTATATCATCTTAGGTTCACTATGTTTCGTTAGTCTGTTTCGATCTTATTTCCTGTTCTTTTTGAGATATTCATAGTGGAAATAGCATTCGTAAAAACGAAAAAGCATCTGGCAAAACGCCCGTATAACAGCAATCAAATAAACTTGTAATAAACTTCTCAGACATTCTTGCGAGCAAGATCCATCGTTGTCGGCGATGTAATATCGCAGGGCATCACAAAAGTTTTACATATAGTTTTGTGATATTCGTGGAATAATTCAGAAATTTCCAAGAAATTCGGCAATGTAAAGGAGCTATG